AGGGTGCCCCTTGCTGGGCTCTTGGGCTCCCTTCCCTACAGGTGCCCAGGGTACTGGGGCCTCCCTGAGATGGCACTGCCACCCCTCAATAAGCCCCAGTGTCCTACAGAATAGAAGACCCAGGGGTGCCTGTGTGGCTCAGTGGTTAAGCCTCTGCCTTCTGCTCGGGTCGTGATCTCAGGGTCCTGGAATTGAGCCCCCACATCATCGGGCTCTCTGCTCAGCAGCGAGCCTGCTTCCCCCTCTCTCTCTGGCTGCCTCTCTGCCTACTTGTGATCTCAGTCTGTCAAGTAAATAAATAAAATCTTGAAAAAAAAAAAAAAAGAATAGAAGACCCAAAACAAAGTGATGACCAGCTCTGCCCTCCAATTGTAAAGCTGTGCATTTTCTCTAAGGGGTTTATCAACTGAAAGCTATTTCAATCCAAATACCAACACAATTGGGGAGAGAGCTTCAGAAAATGATATTAATCTTCCTCTGGAAAAATAAACATTTGAAACTAGCACGAAAATTCTGAAAAAGGGAGGAACATACCACACAAAACCCAGAAGTCTTAAAGTAAAACACTGATTATTTAAACACGTTAAAAAAAAAATTTAAAAACCCAAATGGAGAAAAGTTAAAAGACCAAACACTGGGAACACTATTTGTAAGAGAATGTCAGACAAAGAGCTAACACACTTAATATACACATTTTAGAAGTCGACATGAAAAAGAGGTAACCAAATTTAAAAATGGGCAATTCATAAGGAAAGAAAAATTCCAGATGAACAGTAAATACATGAAAAGATGCTCACCTTCACTCATAATGAAAGAAACAGATAACAAAGTAGCAATGAAATGCCATTTTCAACTGCCAGATTGGCACCAATGAAAGGTTTTACAACGTATAGTGTTGGTGAGGGTATGGGGAGACAGCCCCAAACATTGCAGGAATGTAAACTGACCAACATTTTGGAGGGCAATTTGGAAATAGCTACTGTGGTGGAATAAAGGTGATCACAAATTCTCTGACAGTTCTCCCATAGAGAAAGGAGGTCGGTGATCCTTTCCTTTGAATTTGGGCTGGTGTTTACGTTCTCTGGCCAATAAAATCTAGCAAACGTGACACTGTTATAGTTCCAAGCATATCCCTTAACTTGCCCAGCAGGTTCCACATCCTGCCTCTTACCTGAACTGAAATGATCAGCTGTGAGAAGCCCAAAGCATGCAGGGGAGTCCTGGAGGGTATGGCATCACTTGCAGAGAGAGGTCAAGAAGTGGTGAGGCCTTGTCCTGTGAGTGAGGAAGCCGGCTTGGCAGAGAAGCAAAAATAAACCGTCCAGCTAAGCCCTTCCAGAATTCCTCACCTGAAAAATTGTGAATAAGATAAAGCGGTGGCTTTAGGCATTGTATTTAGGGGTGGTTTGTCCTATAGCAATAGGTATCTAGAACAGCTATCCAAATTTATTTTTATTTTTTATTTTTTAAAGATTTTATTATTTATTTGACAGACAGAGATCACAAATAGGCAGAGAGGCAGGCAGAGAGAGAGAGGAGGAAGCAGGCTCCCCGCCAAGGAGAGAACCCGATGTGGGTCTCGATCCCAGGACCCCGGGATCATGACCTGAGCTGAAGGCAGAGGCTTTAACCCTCTGAGCCACCCAGGCACCCAGCTATCCAAATTTAAATTTACACTTTGACCCAGCGATTTGACTTCCATGAATCTAACCTACCAAAATGTTTGCACAATGTACAAAAACACCTGACCAAAGAAGTTCATTGCAGCAATGTTTGTGGTAGGTAGTACAATGCTGGAAACAAACCATCTGTCCCTCACCAGGGGAAAGGCTAGTATATCTAGTTAATGATATATACTGTACCTACTGAAAACCTGAACCAAGAAAAAGTGCTCTCTGTAGTGCTATGAGCCTAGAGTGACACACAGAATGGTTAAGAGCATGGATTCTGACTCTGTAAACACTGGTTCTGCCATATGTGATCTGTGCGACTTAGGGAAAACTGTTTAACAACTCTATTCTATAATTTTCTTATCTGTAAACTGAAGATGATAATCATAGCACCTCTTTTAGAGGGACGTGGTGGGAAATAAACGTGTTAAATGCTAAGCCTTGTGTTGCTCTGTGCAATATGTACTTTGAAGATGCAAAGAGCCCGAATTTAAATTGGGTTGGAGCAGACTTTTAATATTCTTAAGGGGTTGCAAAGCAAAGGATCTGCCAGATTGCCATCCTGAGATGGGCAAGGGAGATTTGACAAAGACTGAAAAGCAGCAGTGGGAAAATGTTTTCAGAGAAATGGACTCACACTATACTCCCTGTTCTGTTTCTTGCTATCTCTTAGGCATTCTTCCTACCTCAGCACTTATAGACCCATTCATTTCTTTTTTTAACAACTGCTCAGTATTGCCTTGTATGGCCGCACCTCAATATATTTTCATCCTCTAGTTTTTTTCGGATTTACTGAAAAAAAAAAAAAACAACCAAAACTGACCTACATCACTGTATAAGTTTAGGGCATACAGCCTTAAACTTTGATTTACATATATTGTAAAATGATCACTAACCCCTACTGGTGGACTCTGGAGTGTTTCTTCTTTCCTACAGTTACAAACAACACTACACCAAATGTCCTTACACATTTATCTTTGCCCTAGCACTGCTAAGATTTCTGTAGAAGATGTAGAGTCTTCAAAATTGAGTTTTGAATGGAGTTTTGTGGATTCTTCAAAATGGAGAGTAACGTATATATACACCTAAAAAAATTCTGAGGGCTCTGATCAAATTGTTTCAATATCTGGTCCCATTCCCCATCCCCACTGCATTTGTTTTCACAACTCTGTCTCTTTGTGCTTATTATTTTTTTTTAGATGAACTTTAGTATAATTTTGCAAAGTATTATGTGGCCTTGTTTTCAAATTAATACAGCAATGAATCAAGTTCCATTGTCTGCCTTGAAAAATTCAGTCTGGTAGGGATGGGGGTGCAAAGAGGCATCCTGTGGGTGGGGGCAGTAGCTGCAAAATAAAGCAGTCACCCCATCAAGGCTATAGGGCTGGCACTGAAGGCTGGACCATGGGTTCTAGGAGCCCCCAGGAGAGAGCAGCACTGGGGTCTGAAACAATCAGGGAGGCCACCGAAGAAGAGGTTTCGCGCCCAGCCTTTGCATTGGCTCCAGAGCATTTTTTAGAACGCTGACTCATTGAATGCTCACGGTAGCCCTTAGCATTAGGTGGTATTATCTCCACCTTCCAGATGAGGAAACTGAGGCCTGGAGAATGAAAGTCTTGCCCAGCTCCAGCCTTTGAGCTCTTGGCTTCCCTTTTCCTCTCTGTTGATTATGCTTTCCCTATCCCTGCCTCAGGACACTGCCCGTGGCGGAGTGGCCTTCTTAAAAGAGGTTGGAACGCAGACCCCAAGGGTCTCGGTGGCACCGTGGCCCAGGCCACGCGCTGCCTCACCTGCGGGCCCACAACTCCCGGGCATCCCCGCCCTCCTTCAGGCAAACACCTCTGGGACATCCGTGCTGCAGTATTCAAATGCACATTACCCTGACCGGCACCCATCGTCCGTCAATCGCCAAACTCTGAACAGCGTTGTTGTATCTTGGGCGCTCAGGCTGACGAAGGCCTGGGGCTCTCCGGGAGGTCCTTAGTGAAGAGGGAAGTCAGGGGAGTGGGAATTAAACTGGCAGCTCACCGCCGATACGGGGTCCTGACATCCCAGCAACTCTGCCGCCTTTCACCCCGCCCCCCAGGGGCCAAGTCCTTGACTGGCGGCCAACCACCCGCGCTGCGATTCTGGGGAAAACCTCACAAAACAGTAGCAGGAAGCCGGCGTAAGAACCAGCTCCGAGAGACTCGGAGGCTGCGGGCGGTCCCGCTTCTCCGCGAGGCTCCTCCGTGGCAGGCGGACCCAGCCAAGCTCAAGTCAGACTGGTGTCTGTAATTCCCCGCAGCTGGCTCTCACGCTCCTCCCGCCTCGGTCATGCTCGTGCGGGAGGTGGGGGCCGACTAAGGTGCGCACACCTGGGACAATTACGGTATTTACCGCCGGCAGCTCTTGGCCGGCTCTGGCTCCCCCGTGTGTCGACCGCAGGAACTCCAGTTGGGCCGAATGGAGAAGTTGCGCAGCTGGAGAAGCGGCTTGAGGGGCCGCCGCTTCCTTTCGCTCTCGTCTGGCTCCTCCAACCCCGAGTGCCTGCTTGCTCTGGTTTCTAAGGTTTCCCCCAAAGCGCTTTTCTTCCCGGCGAGCGAGCGCGCACACCTGCAGCCGGGGTGCCCTAGGGACTCACACGGCAGCGCCACGTGGACCACCCAGTTAGCCTTTTCAGAGAGGCATGCCGGGGTTCCACTCGCCTGTTTTCAGTGTGTCCTTGGGAGAGTCATTAACCTCTGCACTTCGCTTGCCTCCTCGGTAAAGTTGAGCTTAAATTTACTAGTTCTTGACTCACCCGGTTGTCCAGACGATTCAGTGGGATAGGTGGCAGGTAATAATTACCACCATAATGAGTCACTCGCTGTGTGCCAGGGACTGCTTTAGGCATTTTGAAAAGACGCTATAAAAAAGTATCACCCATAGATGAAGAAATTGAGATTTAGTGATTTGCCCAGAGTCACATGGCTGGAGAGTAGCAGAACGGCGACCAGACTCAGGAACATGAGTACACAAGGGATGGGAAGTGTGGGTGGGGTCCAAGGTTTGTATGTTTAGGGGGGTGCCCAGATGCCTGAAAAATAAAACAACCAGCCTTCATTAATCAATGCTTTTTTCCTCTAATGAATTATTCATCCCATTTTAGTATCATGCTTGCATGGGCAGGGAACTAAAAGACCATCCAGGCTGACTTCCTTGTGAAGATGGGGAGAGACTTCTCCGGGGTCACATGGCTGGGCAGAGCAAAACAGAGCTGGACCTCAGTCCTAGCCCTATGTTGGGGCTGCTTCCCCCTTTCCTTCTCCTGTGGGTAAGCAACACTCTAACTACCCACTCCGCACTGGCACTTCTCCAGGGGCTGCCCACTGGCCACTCCTGACCTTACTTGGTCAGAACCTTCTGCCATTTCCCTCCTTCTCCCTTCTCCAGGCATTCCAGGCCTCTCTCCCCTAAAGGACTAATGCTCTAAGCAGAGAGACCTGTGCAGCCTCTGGCTTCCAAGTGCTGACACATGACCAGTAAATATTTTGCCATTGTCTATGTGTATGTATCTTTTTTCCTTTTGTTAGAATGGGGCTAGCTGGGGAACCTGGGTGGCTCAGTTGATTAAGCAAGCATCTGCCTTGGGCTCAGGTCATGATCCCAGGGTCCAGGGATCAAGCCCTGCATCAGGCTCCCTGCTCTGCCGGGAGTCCGCTTCTTTCCCTCTGCCGTTCCCTCTGCTTGTGCTCTCTCACGCTTACTCTCTCTCACATAAATAAATAAATAAATAAATAAATAAATAAAATTTAAAAACGGGGGGGCTAGCTATGGTAGCTACACTTGTGGTGAGCATAGTTTTATAAATTGTATAAACTCGTCAGATTGAAATTAATGTAACATTGTGTGTCAGCTATCCTCAACTATACTCAACTATACAAAGAAAGAAAGAGAGAGAAAGGGGCTTATATATAAATATAACGAGTGATTCCCAGTGTCAACTTTGGGCATATGAATCATGGATGTATTTTTCCTTGTTTGTATTTTAAATTTTCTTTGGTAATGAACAAACATTACTTCATGAGTAAGACAAGAAATAAAAGTTGTTTCAAAATCCTTTCAAGAAAAAGGCCAACAATAATAAAGAAAATGAGCTAGAAACAAGAATAGATTGTTCTCAGGAAAAAAAATGAAAATGGTTTTTTAAAAATAGGCAAGATCGCTGACTTTGCTCGTAATGACAGAAATGCAAATTAAAATTACATACATGGGCTGCCTGCTCAGCAGGGAGTCTGTTTCTCCCTGTCCCTCTGTCCCTCCCCCGGTCATGCTCTCTCTCTCTGTCAAATAAATAAAATCTTTTATTTTAAGAGATAAAATAAAAGATTTATTTATTTGACAGACAGCACAAGTAGGCAGAGAGGCAGGCAGGGGGTGGGGGGAAGCAGGCTCCCCGCCAAGCAGAGAGCCTGATGCAGGACTCGATCCCAGGATCCTGGGATCACGACCTGAGCAAAAGGCAGTGGCTTAACCCACTGAGCCACTCAGGCACCCAAATAAAATCTTTTTAAAAAGTTATACCGAGGAGCACCTGGGTGGCTCAGTGGGTTAAGCCTCTGCCTTTGGCTTGGGTTGTGATTCCAGAGTCTTGGGATCAAGCCCCGCATTGGGCTCTCTGCTCAGCAGGGAGCCTGCTTCCCTTCCTCTCTCCCTCTGCCTGCCTCTCTGCCTACTTGTGATCTCTGTCAAATAAGTAAATAAAATCTTTAAAAAAAATAAAAATAAAAAGTTATACCGAGTTACCATTTTTTACCTATCAGATTGGCAAAAACCCGAGTTTGACAGGATGTCCTGTTGGGAGAGTTGTGAGGAAACAGGCACTCTCATATGTTGCTGATGGAGTGCAAAATAGTACAGATTCTTTGGAGGGCATTTGGCAATTGCTAGCAAAATCACATTTGCATTTACCCTTTAACACAGCAACCCCGCTTCTAAGAATAGATCCCATAGATGCAGTGGTTAAAAAAAAAGAAAGCCAAATGATACATGCACGAGGCTATTCATTGTAACTCTACTGTAATAGCCAAAGATTGGAAATAGGGCAGGTGGCCATCAGAAGGTACTGGTTGGCTAAGCCACACAATGGAGGACTCTGAGGCGGCAAAAGGAACAAGGAAGATCACAACAGACCATTGCAGAGAGATCACCTGGGTGGGTTTTTCGGTGGGTAAAGGATGTGGGTGTCCACAGTAGGCAAATCTGTAGAGATAGAGGGTAGAGTAGTGGTTGCCTGGGGCTCTGGTGGTGACAGAGGTGGGGACAGTGAGAGCTAAAAGGTATGGGGTTTCTTTTTTTGGTGATGAAAATGTTCTAAAATTCAATGGTGATGAGAATACAACCCTGAACAATACTAAAACCCACTGAATTGTATACTTAACTGCGTGGATTGTATGGTGTGTTATATCTCAAACTTGTCCAAAAAAAGGCAAAGTGAGACAACTGTGTATAATATGCTATTGTAGGAAAGGGAAAGTATATATCTATGTCATGTCACATATACATATATATGATTTATTTTATTTTTTTTAAAGATTTTATTTATTTATTTGACAGAGAAAGATCACAAGTAGACAGAGAGGCAGGCAGAGAAAGAGAGGGAAACAGCCTCCCTGCTGAGCAGAGAGCCCGATGCGGGACTCGATCCCAGGACCCTGAGATCATGACCTGAGCCGAAGGCAGAGGCTTAACCCACTGAGCCACCCAGGCACCCCATATATATGATTTAAATTAAACAATATAAGGGTAAGCAACAACAACAGAAAAGGTTATTGTGTTGGTCAGGATTCAATTAGAGAGCAGAATCACTCTGAGATTACAGGATGGGGGCTTTATCATAGCAATGGGCTTTGCACGATTGTGGAAGGAGCTGGTGAAGACAGTGACTGCAAGGGGAGTTGGGGAATCAGAGGAGTCAGTAGCCCGTCTGTCTGAGAAACCCAGTATGTCTAGCTGCCCAAATGGATCCACAGCGGAAGCTGCAGGGGCCTCTGTTGGAAGCTGTGTCCTCTACATAGAGGATGCCCCTGGGTCTGCCTCTGAGCATCAGTGGTAGCCAGGGGCTGCTTTGGTCAGTAGGATCATCAGAGGGGAAGAAAAGCTAGATGTGAATGAAGGAGAGCAAGAACCAGCTGGAAACTGCTGGGCTATGACAACTGATCGTGACAACCTTCAGAGACTTGACTTTGAGACTATAAATATTTTACATAATCATTAAACAAAATTAACATTTAAAAAAGCAAAAGTGAAACAAACTTATGATTTTTTTTCCCCCAAACCTATGCTATGTTGAGTTGAGGGCATAACCACACAGATAGGAACTATCCCAAGTGACCTCAAAACAGTAATGTGATTATAAGCCCCTAGTGGGATATATCCAAATGACAAGAAAATCCTTTTTATTTTTAAGTAGGCTTCACGCCTATCATGGAGCCCAACATGAGGCTTGAACTCAAGACCCTGAGATCAAGACCTGACCTGGGATCAAGAGTCAGACCGACTGAGCCACCCAGGCACGCTCCCTCTGCCCCCTTTTCAAGTAAACCCTTCACTCAACATGGGGCTGAAACTCACAACCCTGAGATCATGAGCTGCACGCTCTATGGACTGAGCCAGCGAGGGGCCCCAACAAGACAAACTTTTAAAAATACTTCAACAGTGTTCAGGAATCATATTGTTGGTTTTTATGTTGGAATTGTTATTCTGAAACTTTTGTGAGTATATTGTGGTTAAAGTGAATGACGAATTATGTTGCCATCACTGAGAAGTGGGACTTCCAACATAGGAGAAAGAAAACACAGATGTAATTTTGATAACGTTAGGTAAAAACCCTGTTGTCTTGAATTTGAGCTTATATTCATTCAGTCATGAGTATGAACTAGTGATGCATTTTATCAGGAAACAAACAAATGAGACATTTCCTAGCTCTATCCACTGGAAGTTCCTAGAAATAAGACCAACCCAGTAGCAATGATCATGCCTAGTGCCCAGACTGTGGCCTCTCAATATCTTTCCCACTAAAAGGACCCAAGACTTCTTGGGTCTAGAAATGGCTGATTCTATGTCTGGGGCTGGGAATGGGCTGGATCAATCTGGAGTATCTTGTCACACCAGAAGCAGGGAAGCTGTTAAAGACTACTGTGGTTGAGACAAAAAGGTTTAGGCTCCGGTTTGGCCAAAGAGGACATAATTTGAGCATCAATAAGGAAAATAACTTCAGAGGATTAAACACAGTGAATATGGGCAAATATGAATTTACTTCAATATAATGCAGGGGAGAGAAGGATGTTAACTAGGACAGTTAACAGCTGAACCTGGATGATAGGTATACGGGGTTCATCATATTATTTGCTCTACTTTTATGTATATTTGAAATTTCTATAGTATTCTTCTTTTTTTTTTTTTACAAAATTCCTGTCTCTTAGATAAGGCAAATATGGCAAAATTATATGTGATGCTATTCTTTCAACTTTTCTGTAGATTTTTTTTTTAAAGATTTTATTTATTTATTTGACAGAGATCACAGGTAGGCAGTGAGGCAGGCAGAGAGAGAGGAGGAAGCAGGTTCCCTGCTGAGCAGAGAGCCCGATGTGGGGCTCGATCCCAGGACCCTGGGATCATGACCTGAGCCGAAGGCAGAGGCTTTAACCCACTGAGCCACCCAGGCGCCCCAACTTTTCTGTAGATTTGAAATTTTTCTAAGTAAAATATTAAGAGAAAAAAAAAATCTGTCTTGATACTTTTGCCTCAGCAAGAAGCCTCAAATCTCAGACCCAGGGTCCAACGCCTTGGAAAATAATGCAAGTCTTTTTTTTTTTTTTTTTTTTAAAGTAAAAGGGATTCAGGAAAGTTCAGATTGTTAAAAAAAAAAACACAACAACAAAAAAACGGGGCGCCTGGGTGGCTCTGCGGGTTAAGCCTCTGCCTTCGGCTCAGGTCATGATCCCAGGGTCCTGGGATTGAGACGGGCATCGGGCTCTCTGCTCAGCAAGGAGCCTGCTTCCCTTCCTCTCTCTGCCTGTCTCTCTCCCTACTTGTGATCTCTGTCTGTCAAATAAATAAATAAATAAATAAATCTTTAAAAAACAAAAAACAAAAAACATAGGCCCAAGATGGTGTCACTTATGCTCAGCCAAGTAACCAAACAGCAGCTGAATACCTAACCTAAGTGCAGTTTCAACCTCCCCCAGAAACATAGTCTCTGTTAAGTCAGTCAGGGATTTTCTGGTCAGCAACAATGAGGTAATCTGTCACGTGAGCCCTCTCCTTGCCTCCAACAACCCTTTCTTTTTTTTTTTTTTTTTTAAGATTTTATTTATTTATTTATTTGACAGAGAGATCACAAGCAGGCAGAGAGGCAGGCAGAGAGAGGAGGAAGCAGGCTCCCCGCTGAGCAGAGAGCCCAATGCGGGGCTCGATCCCAGGACTCGGAGATCATGACCTGAAGGCAGCGGCTTAACCCACTGAGCCACCCAGGCGCCCCCCAACAACCCTTTCTTTTACGAGTAACTTCCTTGTCCCACCCTCCTTCCTGTAAAAATGACAGACAAAGCACATGTCTCCCTTCATTGATGGAAGCCCTGAACATGTAGGTTTGAAGTTCCAAGTGGTCCTTGCAAGGAGTCCAGATACCGTTAGATTTTCCTCCTAGCTCTGACCTTGCTGGTTTTGGGGACTGCTCCATTTGGTGCTCTGGGACCATAACATTTCTCTCAGTTCCAAAAAGCTACTCAAAATGGAGCCCAAGGTCTGAGTTGTGAGGCAGCTCCCTGAGGCAAAAGAATCAAGACAAAGACATGATTTTCTCTCTCTCTCTTCTTTTTCTTTTTTTAAACAATTTTATGTATCTATTAGAGAGAGAGAGAGAGATCACGAGCAGGGGGGAAGGGAAGAGGGAGAAGCAGACTCCCCGCCCAGCATGGAGTCCAATGTGGGATTCCATCCCAAGACCCTGGGATCATGACCTGAGGCCGAAAGCAGAAGAGGCTTAACCTCCTGAGCCACCCAGATGCCCCGATTTTTTTTTCTCTTAATTTTTACTTAGAAAAATTTCAAATCTACAGAAAAGTTGAAAGAATAGTACCATATATTAATATTTTACCATAGCTGCCTTATCTAAGAGATAAGAATTTTGTAAAAAAAAATTACTGTAGGGGCGCCTGGGTGGCTCAGTGGGTTAAGCCTCTGCCTTCAGCTCAGGTCATGATCCCAGGGTCCTGGGCTCGAGCCCCGAATCAGGCTCTCTACTCGGCAGGGAGCCTGCTTCCTCCTCTCTCTCTCTCTCTGCCTGCCTCTCTGCCTACTTGTGATCTCTGCCAAATAAAATAAATAATTTTTTTTAATTACTGTAGAAAATTTCAAATATACATAAATGTAGAGCAAATAATATGATGAACTCCATGCTAGTCTGGTGTTCCGTTTGAGTATGAAATGATGAGCAATGAACTCTGAATAGGAATAGGGAGACCCAGTGTTACTTGTGTGTCCCAGAGTTACAGATTGTGACTGCTCAGGAGGCAAAGGCTGCTCAGAACTAACACTGGAAGATGCACACTTAAGCCAGTCCAAAAATGACAAAGAACTAATTGTGGAAAAGGAAATGGCAAGTGCAAAGATCCTGAGGCAGGTCAGGGAAAATTTCATTCTGCTGAAAGGAATTTAGCATGTTTAATTTTATTGTTTTTTCCTCCCCTAGGGAAAGAGGGCTTCAGCTACCTTCATTTGACTCAATCTGTTCTTGATTGATTGATTTGTTGATTAGGTTCTTCTTATCTCTTAACTCAGGCAAAAGACCCTGCGGGCAAAGCATCCTGTGACAGGAACCAAAACTACCACCCCCTCAAGCAATAAGGACTGCCCCTATGCCTGCAAGACTCCATGACCCCACAACAGTGACTGACCTGACCTTTACCGCCCACCTGCATGTACCCACTGACTTTTGCCCCACATTTTCCTTATTTAAACTTACAAGTATTCTCAGCACTTAGAGATGGTCTGTGGGATGCTGGCCTGTGGTCTTCTGGGTGTTGGCCTCACGGAAATTAATTCCTTTCTGGTTTCATCCTCAGTCATTTCTCTGCCTCTGGATTTTGTCAGTGGCCAGGGGATGAATCTGGTCTGCTTGGGACCCCTGGAGTCAGGTGCCCTCCGACCCTTGGGCCCCAGCTACATGAGGACTGAAAAAAAAAAAAAAGACATTTGAAATGATGTGCATCATTACTAAGCTAAATAGAGATCATAAATGAGTGTAATTGACATTATTTTTCCACAGTCAAACCAAGTTTTCTATCACTTTGATATTTCTTCATTGTTTCTAGTAGATGTTAAGGTCAATCACGTCCCTCTGTCACACACACTCATACAGGTCCTGTAACCACCTCACATGCCCTACGCCAAGCCCCAGCACTAGGCTCTCAGGCTCTCTCTCCATCTCTGTCGACTGTGATGGTCTCTGATTTACCTCTTCTGTCCCCCAACCCCACAGTCCCTAATGCTAAAGGGATGGAAGCAGCATGTGTGTGTGGAACTGTCTTCTTTGAGAATGACCTGGGGAACATCAGAGTGAGCCAGCGAGTGAGTAAGGGTGTGTGTGTCGGGGGCGGGGTGAGATTGAGGGCTGGAGAAGCAGGGTGAAAGTGGGCTCTGCATACCATCAGGGACAGGAAAAAGGCAGAGCCAGGGTTTGGTTCCCCCAGCTACCTCCCTCCAAATATCCCCCCAAGATAGAGTGGTATGAACACCTAAGGCTCTGGGGCCTTGTCCAAAGCAGCCCATCAGATTTTGCATCTTACTCCCTTGTTCATTGAACCATGGTAGTTTTAATAAAAATGCAACTTTTCTACCCTTTCCCAGTCATCATGTGAAATTTAAATCCCGACTATGGCTTCCTGTGCCCTTCATTCTCACTGTGTATCCCAAGATATGAGTATCCTAGTTGAGATGCAAAAAGCAGCAGCCACTTCATTCTGCCAGCCCAGAGCTATGGCTATCGCTGACGGCAAGTGGGCAGGTGTGCCAACCACCCGCTCCCTGGCACCTCTGCATCCATCCGGGAGGCCAGGGCTTAGAGAGAGAAACTGCCTGATGCCTGTGGCTTTGACTCCATCAGAGTCCTTTCCGCCTGCCGGATGCTCAAGTTCTGGCTCTTGAATCAGATCACCTTGAATGAGAAGCCTGGCTCTGCCCCTTACCCATGTGAGTAGGGAGAATTATTTACTCTCTTGTGCTTCAGTTCAGTCTCCATAATATGGTGATGCCCATTTCACATAGGGTGGTTTGAGGCACAAAATGAGATAATTCACACAAAGTGCTTAGCTTGAAGCTCACTAAGTGTTGGCTATTATCATTGTGTTATTTTTTTCAAAGGCCATCCCAAATACTTCCTCCTCCAGGAAGACTCTTTGAACTTACAATAATGACTGAAAATTATTACCAGAGAACTAGTAATAGTTCCTTGTCTTGGGGTAGAGATGTCTGGGACTCCAGGATCCCTAAATCTAAAGGGCCATAAATGCCTTCAAGCCAAAAAGGCAAAGCAGAGAAGACATGGACAGCCCCCAGGGGTCTGAAGTGCAACCCATTCTGATATGTTTAATGTGTATCTTTTTGTTTGTGTCTTTGCAATCCCTATTGTCTTATGTGTATGCATTTATTGATATTGTGTTATAGGTCTCACTGGGTTGTACTTTTTCAGCTCAGCATTGGGTGTTTAAATCTGTGTTGTGAACACACCTGGTTGTAGAAGGTGCTTTTAGGTAACAGGCTTGAGCAAGGCCAAAGGGCCCGCAAAGACCACAAGGCTGAATATAGACAGGCTCATTAAGTGACCCACCTCCAAATAGCCCTAAGGCATCAATGTGCTACTTAAAACCAGGCGCAATTACCAAAAAAGGGAAAACTTCTGTATGTCCCCATACTTCCTCACTCCGCCCTATAACTATAGTCCCTTGCCACCACATGTGGCCCTCTCCCCTTTATTGTCCTTGCAATGTATCCAATAAAGTTCTCTCTATTTTGTTCTGCCTTGGTGAATTCTTTCAGGGCCTGCGTCCCCAGCCCCCACCCAGTCCCCAAGCTGCATCCGGGTTCCTCATTTCTCTAGCTGCATAGTCCCACACTTTACCCACTCACTCCCTCAGCGCAGAAGCTCAAGTCACCTCCAACTTCCAGCCACCACGAAACAATGCAGCAAGGAATGTCCTTTTACATGTCCTTTTCCGAGACTGGAAGGGAAAAGCTGCATTCTAGGGTCAAAGTTCGCCGTGTTTAGTTTCCCTCACGACTACAGGACTGTTTTCCAGAATGGCTGCCCCAGGCCACTCCCACCATCAGTCCACCTGGCTGTGACAGCTTCTCGCTGCTGCCAAGGTTTGGAATTATCTAGCTTTCTGATTTTGCCAGTCTAATTGGGGTGATACCTCATTGTCATTTTAACTTGTATTTTTCTGATCGTGAATAAATCTGCCCATCTCTTCATATGCTTACAGACTTGCTGGGGTGTCTGTGGAGTCTGACTTTCAGTGTCTGGTGGCAGCTGAGCAGGCGCCTGAGTGCCGAGGATGGGGCCTGCAGGAGGCCTTACACGAAAGTCCAGGGCCGAGGAGGCAGGGACAGCTCCTGGCGCAGACACGCCCACGGGGACCTGCGGAGCCCGGAGTGGCCCCGCTCCGCTGGCCTCCCGTGTGAAAGGCGCGGAGCCGTGGGCAGGTCGAGGGAGCCAGAGGAGGCACCTGCATTCTGGTTCGGGATGTGGGGAGAGGCCGCAGCAGCTGCGCCCACGTCGTGCTCCAGGGCCCAGGCAGGACCGAAAGCTCTGGAGAGGCGGCTGCCGCGCGCACCCCCGCACTCCCGGTAGCCCCCGCGCCGGGACCCCTGCTCAGCGCCCCCACCCCTCGGCTCGCGGCGCCGCGCCCACGCGGACACGCGGCGGGGCAGAAGCGCGCGCCCGGGCTGCGGAACGGCTGCAGGGAGGAGCCCCCGGCGTGGGAGACCGACGGCCGTGAGCCGGCCGCGCCGTGGGGTCTGGGGGCGGGCGCGGGCAGAGCCCAGAGGAATCCCGCACGCCCGCGGGGGTGCGGGAACCCGCGATTGGCACTGTCCGCGCGGCCACCTCGGTCGTGGGCTTCTTTGTGGCGTCCAGAGGAACGCGCACGGGGCCAGGGGGACACTGGCCGCGCGTCCGGGACTCGGCGGCGCCACGGGTCTGAGGAGCAGGGAGCTGCCGCCGCCACGGAGACATTAGCTAGAGGTTTATGCGAATGAGAAGGTCATGCGATCCTGTATTGAGTACTTAGTTTGTGTGCTAGGCCGAGCCAGGACAGGGATGCTATTTGATCTTCACAGACGCCCTGCGGGTTGGATCTATTGTTATGGCCATTTTGCAGAAAAGAAAGCCGAGGCACAGGATGGTTAAATAAGTTACCCAAGGTCACACAGCCTTTAAGTGGTAGAAACGCTGAAGGCCCCTGCCCTCCCAGAATGCTGGGGTTGGGTAGGGGAATGAAGACTCTACCGCATGGGGAAACTGAAAACCAGAGGAGCTGTGACGTGCAGCAGGTGGGATGAGCTCACTGCACAGCATTCCTCACGGAGTGTGCTCAGTGCCAGGGCCTCTAGGCCGGGTAGCGGCATCCCTGTGGGCATCAGCCGACCTGAGAGGCTTTGGCTGCACTCCCTGGGAGACAGGGAGGAGGACTGGGCTAGTGTCCTCCCTGGGATGGGTGGGGGTCGGTGAGGGGCTCTATAGAGGTGCTGTTTCAAAGGGTGCAGGGTTCTTCCTGGGTCAGAGGATGACTTGAGTGACCCTTAAAGAATGTGCAGCCATGGAGTATTGGGATGTGTGGGAGGGAATTCTGGGCAGAGGAGGCAGCATGGGAAAGGTCTCCAAGGCCAGAGCACAGTGTGTATTTGATGTGGACAGAAAGAGGATGCATGGGTTGAGGTGGATGGAAGGGATGAGATTATGCCTGTTTCACTGGTGCCTTGCAGGGTCTGCTTGCTCTCACTCACACTCAGTGCCTGTTTGCCAACACAAACCAGGCCACTTCCAGGTTTCAGCTAAGAGAAAGGGAATCAGAGCTGGAAGGGATCTCTACAGATGATTTTCTTCACCTTCCTGCAGTTTTACAGCTGAAGAAACCGAGGCCTCCAAGGGGTACATGGCTAGCCTGGGATCCTACTGCTAGAAAGTGGCACAGTGGGTACCAGAATCCCCGCTTCTCTAAGCTCACACCTGAAGTGGAGCTCTTTTCCCGAACCTGGATCATGGTGTTGTTCAACCAAGAAGTTCAGGAAGGAACCTGAAGGTATTTGAGATCCGAGAGGGGTTCTTCCAGTAGAGCCCTCTCCTCCCCTATAGGAAAGGCACCCTCTTTAGAGGTGAGAAAGGGCGGAGCTTGCAATGGAGACCGCATTTGGAAGGTAGTGTTTTCTCCCTCCCCTGAAATATTGACCTGAAGCTGCCTCCCCCTCAGTGCCTCCTTCCCACCATTTACCTGAGCTTGTGGTTTGATTTTCCAGGGGAACTAATGAGTCTTAACTGGGACAGCATCTTACAGTTGAAAGGCCCCTGAAGAGATTTAATGATTTGTATGTCATTCATTCATTCATTCATTCAACAGATGTGTGCCAAGGCCCGAATTTGGGGATACAGCAGTTAACAAATCAGACAAAAATCTCCCCTGTCATGGCTTATATGGGGTGGGGGGAAGACAGTGAACCTAGTAAGTATGTAGGTATAGCATATGTCTGTGGTAAGGGGTGCTATGGAGAAAAAGAATGCAGGGAGGTGGCTTGGGAGGGTGCTTTCCTTGGTTGGGATTTCTTGGACCCTGAATTGAAGGAAGCCCCAGCTGGAGGGACACCAGAATGTATTCTCTGACCCTTTACCTTACAGGATTCATAGTGATGATGATGTTGGCACTATTTGCTAGATATCATGGTAGGGGCTTTTCATATCTTATATCTAATCATTACTATAACCCTACAGGGCAGCTCACATTCCCCATTTTGCAGATGAGGGAACTGAGCCACAGGATAATTAAATCACAAGGCCTGGAGACCTGGAAGTGACTCGCCAGAGTTGAACCTAGGGCCATGTGATTGCTCTGGGCCAGCAGCTCCCGAAGACCCGAGGTTGTATCTGTAAGGCCCCGAAAAACCCAAGACCCTCTCCCATATCTGGAAAGCATATCTGGAAAATGGATGGCAGGCCTGTCTGTCACCTGAGCTCATTCTAGCCTTCCCTGCCCAAACACTGGACACGTCTCCTTAGATATACAAAGGGGCTGGATCTGGACATTCACATTGGACCAGACACACAGGATGTGGGTTTGGCAGCAATCAGACCATAGATTATCTGTCCTGTAATGACCATGCAAAGGTCCAGCAAATATTTGTGCCTTGTGCTAGTGTGTCTAAACCTTTCTGGAGGAGGGACGGGTATCTATTAGTCTGCTATGTGTCACTCATGGAAAGAGAGTTTTATGGATCCCTCCCTGCTGTGAGCTGTAGGTGGGTCAGCAAAGGTCAGATGTGGCCAAGGTCACCAAGGAGTTTGCGGTCCAGCCAAGGACACCAGACATGCTCACAAGCCAAGAGCAGTCAGGATGATGGCAGTGTGGGGGTCTGGTAAGATGAGCCCAGGATTCACCAGGCCTGAGTCCTCCTGGCCTGGCCACCACCCTCTGAACCCACCACTGCCCCTGGCAGACCTCAGAGCTCTCTATAGTCTGAGGTAATGATGCAGTGTTGAGGCAAGGGGAACCCTGAGAGAGGCAAATCAGGGTGGGCCACAGAGCTGTGTGTGGGAGGTGATGGCTGGTCAGGATTGGGGATGAAGGGAGAGGAGATGGAGGGACAAGGACAAAGAAGCCAGGTGAGCGTGCCTCTGGCCTTGCCCGAGCCTGATGAAGTAGGTGGCTCAGTACCTCCTGGCTGCCTTCTTCACTGGACACAGCCAGAGGAAAAGTAGTTATCAACTCCAGTGGGAATGAATTCCATCCCTTCCTTAAGAGCTGCTCTTGGGGTCATGAAAACTGGATGATTGGGGACCTCTGAGGGCCGTGACAGGCACACACCTGGCTCCCGTGGACAGTCTTGCTGTCTCATCTTTAGGGTTTTGCTAAGTCCTGGTTGTGTGGACTTGGGGTGAATTAGTGAAGAAAAGCAGCTTGTCTGGGGAAGTCCCTAACATCCAAAGAGAGGAGCAGCATCTCCACCTGGAGTCCGAGTCCGAGCTGGAAGAACCCCTGCCTGGGAAACATTCCCGGCAGGGAGGAGCTGTTCACCCCTCCTTCTCACGCCGTGTGAGGACCCTGCCCCTCATCCCTCGTCCCCTTTTCTGCCCTTAGTGCTTCCTGTGGAGAGGCAGCTCCATGAGGCCGCCCGGCGGAACAACATCAGGAGGATGAAGGAACTGATGGAGAGGAGAGTCCACGTCAAGGCCAGAAACCACGTTCGTAAAGGGGCTCTTCCCAATCGGGAGGCTTGGATAGGGATAGTGCCTGCCACAGTGATCGCAGTGACAATTCCACACGGGAGAAACAGTTCATGGAGCCCAAGGCAGAAGTGTTTGCATGTTTTAACTTGGGGGAGGCTCAGATTGTCCACATTGTCTCAAGGCCTTAGCGGTCTTACCTGAGGTCAGGGTTAGGCTTCCCAGCTGGGCTTGGGCAATTTGAGATCTCATACTCTTAACTCCTGTCACCCATCTGAAAGGCACACCCAAGGAACAAAGATTAGAGTCAGGAGGGCAGGGGGTTGAAGGCCAGGACAGACAAATGGACAGAGAGGGGCAGAAGCCTGGAGGAACAAAGATGGAGTGGTGCCCGTGGTTAGAAGTCCAGGAGTCCAAGACTATGAGAGACAAGACCAAGAGAGGCTGAGCATGTGTAAGGAAGCAATTTAGTTCAGTTTTCTGAGCACCCACTGAGTGTGTAAAACTGTTGTGGGCCTAGGAAATCCCCAGGGGCTCAAAGACCAGGTAGGGAGACCTAGCCCATGGATCAGGCCGCAGGGCAGGAGGGCAAGGGGTGGTCCTCATGCTGGAGGAGGAGGCAGGGAGAAAAGCCATTCCTTCTGATGGGGGCGGGGGGGCGCGGGTTGGGGGGAGACATTGGTGAGAGGCCCAGATGCCCTGCAGGGTAGCTTCTCTCTTCCTTGGGCTTCTGGGTGCCAGGCTTGTCTTAGAGGAGATGCTGGCCTGGGTGGGAGGTCAGTGGAGGCTGAAGGGGTTGGATGGAGGATTCCTGACTGTAGCAGAGGCTGCTCTGTATGGGGTGACATGACAGGTGTGTGACCTGGGTCTTCGGAGCCTGTCCAGGGCTCAGTAATAGTAACGGGAATTCTCAGGTGCATCTGGTGCGGTTTGGTTTTCAGAGCACTCCGCCACCTGTTTCCTGGTGGTCCTCCCTCAGCCCTGGAGAGGTGGGGGAGGCAGGAAGTGTCGGTCCTATTTGTAGATCAAGACAGGCACAGATGAGTATAGCAAGTCACTATACAAAACCGCGTTTTATTCATAACTGGAGCCCCAGTCTCCACTGGACAAACACTTGCACGGAAACAGGGACTTGTAGGATGACAGGATACTAAGGCCAGATCCATTCATTCATCCGTTCATTCATTCATTCATTCATTCGGTCAGTCAGTTATGCTAAAGGGCTTCCCCTGGGTCGACACTGTGCTAGGTGCTGGGGCCAAGCAGAGCCCACAGCAGATGTGGTTCCTGCGCTCTTGGAGCTGACTGTCTGGTTGGGGAGAAGACACAGTGAACAGAGTCTCACAAGCAGTTCATTCCCACTGTGATAAGCTGAGAGCATGTGGAGGTCAGAGGGAGCCCGTCCTCCCTGCAGCAGTCAGGCAAGGTTTCTCGAGGAAGTGGTATTTTTGCCAGGTGAAGACAGGCAGAGGGGACAGTAGGGGCAGAAACTCTGAGGAAGAAAGACTACACAGAAAATTAGTGTTTCCTTTTGTTGTCCCCTGATAAGCTAAAAACTATGGTTCGTGGGCTGGCGGAGGCAGGATTCTCCCAGTCTTGCTCAGATGTGCTGAGGCCAAAAACCAGGGTGGTCTCACCACGGGGTGCAGGATCAGGCCCCTTCGGCCCATTCTGAAGGAAGGAGGGGACAGAACCCAGGCAGTCGGGGGCCCTCAAGGACTAGGACGGTAATCCTCTGACAGGTGGCTGTCCAGCAGAAGCAAAGACAGGGCAATGGGGAGTAGTCTGGCATTTCTGAGTCGTGGTGGGCAGGGACCAGGGTTAGGAGTTTGTCCCAAGAGCTGTGGGAAGCTCTGAAGTTTTGGTGGGGGATGGATGGGTGCAGTCATGGTGTCTGACTACGTTCGTTTCAGCTGCTGCCATGTGGAGGAGGAGGAGGGGGCCTGAGTGTCACCACCAGACCAGCTGTCCTGCAGCTGGAGAGATGGGGGGTGGAGGGGTGGGGTGGGGGATTGGCCAGGCAGGCAGCTGGTGCCTCAAGCTCTCCTGTCCCTCCCAGCAGGTAGGCAGGGTGGCCCTGCACTGGGCTGCGGGCGCCGGGCACGAGCCAGCTGTGCGGCTGCTCCTGGAGCACAAGGCTGCTGTGGACAATGAGGATGCGGTATGGGACCCTCATGTAGGCGCCCCTGTGCCTGTGTGCGTGTCTGTCTGTCTGTCTGTGTGTCCCAGGGTTGGGGAGGAGCACCAGCGCTCCCTCTGGGTCTAAGTCCACAGTCATGGTGGAGGGTGCGCTGATCCGCAAACACAGGGTGCAGGGTGGACAGGGAATCTTCAGGGGCCAGTGACACAGCACCAGTTTCCCCCTGTACAGCCATAAAGATCTCTCCATTTTTTAGAGTTTTGTAGTTCTCAGAGAGCCTTTTCAGTCCCTCATGATACCATGTGAACAGGGAGAGAGGCGGGCTGTAGAACAGATAATTGGATGGATTGATAAAGGACTTTTTTTTTTTTAAGATTTTATTTATTTATTTATTTGAAAGACTGAGATCACAAGTAGGCAGAGAGGCAGGCAAAGAGAGAGAGAGGAGGAAGCAGGCTCCCCGCTGAGCAGAGAGCCCGATGCGGGGCTCGATCCCAGGACCCTGGGATCATGACCTGAGCCGAAGGCAGCGGCTTTAACCCACTGAGCCACCCAGGTGCCCCGATAAAGGACTTATTAATAAAGCCATCCGGAGAGGGGACTCTCACGATATGCCACAAGGCTGTGCCCTGGCTAAGGCTTTAACCAGCGACCTGGATGAGGACGAACAGTGTGGGGCTCCAAAGTGGCACAGTGGGTTAAGCGACCAGCTCTTGTTTTGGGCTCAGGTCTGATCTCAGGCTGGTGAGTCGGCCCTGAGCTGGGCCCTGTGGCAGGCTGTGCTCCGCACGGGAGTCTGCTTAAGCTTCTTTGTCCCCCTGCCCTTTCTGCCTGTGAGCTCTCGCTCTCAAATAAATAAATAAATCTTAAAAAAAAAAAAAAGAAGAAGACTAACAGTCTTACTTAACAAATTGGCAGGCAACACTGTGCTGCGAGGGAGCACTGACAGGGTCTACAAAATCATCTCTATAGGTTTAGGGAAAGGACTGGGTCTGACAATGACATTTTTTTAAATTTTATTTTTTTAAAGATTTTATTTATCCATTTGACAGACAGAGATCACAAGCAGGCAGAGAGGAAGGCAGAGGGAGAGGAAGGGAAGCAGGCTCCCTGCTCAGCAGAGAGCCGGATATGGGGCTCGATTCCATGACCCTGGGACCACAACCGGAGCCGAAGGCAGAGGCTTTAACCCACTGAATCACTCAGGCGCCCCTGACAATGACATTTGACAGGGTTATATTTAAGAGTCTGAATCAAAAAAATTTTAAGGAATTACAAACTTCCCTGCAGAGATATACCTTTCCCAGAAATACTGTTCTTTGCCTTGGCCTCTCACTGCTCCTAGGCCCCAGCAAGAGGGAGGGCTTGATGACCAGCTGGGGCTCTGGGTGAGGCAGCAACATTTACCCTCCCACTTCTGCCCCATCTCTCTGCATTTGCTTAGACCTCATTTAGAAGTGACTCTAGAATAAAAATGTCTGGGATCCTTAGCCTGAGCTTCCTGATAAAATACTTGAATCTCATGCAATAGGGCTTTGCCCACAAAGTCCCTCCATGATCACTGCTGTGCTCTGTTATTTCTTCCTTGAGAGAATCAGTGAGGAAAAAAGGTATGCGGGAGACAGAAAGAGACAGCCACCTGGTTGGCTCAGTTGGCTGAGTGACTGCCTTTGGCTCAGGTCATGTTCCCGGCGTCCCGGGATCGAGTCCTGCATTAGGCTGCCAGGTCCACAGGGAGTCTGCTTCTCCCTCTGACCTTCTCCCCTCTCATGCTCTCTCACACTGTCTCTTTCTCAAATAAGTAAATAAAATCCTAAAAAAAAAAAAAAAAGAAAAGAAACAGTGCTTTTATAAATCTTCTGTTTCCTTTGCAAATAGTAATATATATATTACATATAAATAAGAAAGATTTTACTTATTTATTTGTCAGAGAGAGAGTGAAAGGGAGAAGCAGACTCCCTGCATAGCAAGGAGCCTGATGAGGGACTTTATCCCAGGGCCCTCGGATCAAGACCTGAGCTGAAGGCAGACGCTTAACCCACTGAGCCGCTCAGGCTCAGTAATAAGTATATTTTGAAAACTAAGAAAGCTGATGGGCATGCCTACTTTAGATAACAGAAGGGTGGGGGGTGACAAGAGAGGGAGATCCTGCTGTCGGGGGGAAGGTCTCAAGGGATATGCCACAGGGCTCTGTCCTGGACAGTTCTTGGAACTAGGACACGGAAATATCCCTGGGGTTCCCACTGGCAGGAGGCTCTGGCTCCCATGACTCTCCTCCCCCAGCCAGCCCTGAGCATTGATCCTTTTCATTCCCAGGCTCCTATGGGCTTCTCCCCGTGGACTCTGCCCTGTGAGTACTCATGCTCTCCCTCAGCCAGCCAGGCCATAGTCGCTGTAATTCTCCCCCGTTCGGGGTCACAGGCAGAACCCATGAGGGCAGAGGTCAGTGCGGGGCTCTCAAGATCCCGGAGCACTTCACAGGTGTTGAGGAAGGGCATCCTGCAAACAGGCGCCAGGCCACCCTCGGAAAAGGGCCCAGACATGCTCTCCGTGGCCGCAAAGGGCCTGTGGGCTGGAAGGCACAAGGATGCAGATTTCAGTGCAGAGTAAGGAGGGACTTTCTTACCATGAGCAGTGGTTGTCAGGGCAGTGCCTGTCTGCAGGCACAAGCCATCCACCTGGAGGCCGTCCTGTAGGAGAGTCAAACAGTGGTTCCCAAACACCAGTCTTTACCAGCCACAGCAAACCAGAAAATAAGAACAATGTAGTATGTTTTTCGTGAAGCTGTATTTGCAAAGAGCATACTCTGAGATTAGTTTCTCCCCAATTTTTTATGTTAAAATGTTCCTTCTTAATTAAATGATGGGGAGAATAGATGGTACCTGTTATTTATTTATCCATCCATCCATCCATCCAGAGATAGCATGAGTGGCGGAGGGGCTAAGGAAGAGGGAGCAAGAGAAGCCCAAGCAGGATCCACACCCAGTGCAGAGCCTGATGTGGGGCCAGTCTCATGACCCAGGAGATCATGACCTGAGCAGATATCAAGAGTTGGATGCTTAACCGGCTGAGCCACCCAGGCACCCCTATTTTAAAATTTTATTTAGCAAAAACAAAAGTTTGCCATGGTGTCTCAGCCTCTATTAAAAAAAAAAAAAAAAAAGCCACTCAGGGACACCTGGGTGGCTCAGTTGGTTACGTGTCTGCCTTCTGCTCCGGTCAAGATCCCAGGGTCCTGGGCACAAAACTTGTGTCCAGCTCCCTGCTCCGTGGGGAATCTTCTCTTCCCTCTCCCTCTGCCTCCACCCCCCCCCCACCACTCCTGAGCTCTCTCTCGCGTGCGCTCTCTCTCTCTCTCAAATAAATAAATACAATCTTTTCAAATATTTAAAAAAAAAATGCCATGATTTTTACGTTCATTAAGCTTAGCGGCTCTCTGGGTTGGGTGGCACTTATGGTCCCCTATGGTTGTATGATTTTCAGTGCAGACGTGGGCCCAGGTGGCACAGCCACACCTGCTCACATTCACCTCGACTCCTCCCCCATGTCCTCTCCCCCAGTTTGGGATGAATGCGCTTCTCCTGTCTGCCTGGTTCGGCCACTTACAGATCCTCCAGATCCTGGTCAACTCTGGGGCCAAGATCCACTGTGAGAACAAGGTAAGGCCTCAGTGGGGAGCCCCCTTGCTCTCCGAGTCCCTGCCCCCTCTGTTCCCCTGCCCTGCTGCACTGGTCTGCCCCCACCTCTGCCATCTACCCCCATCTCTTCCCCCTTCTTCTCCCCACATGGCTCTGCCTTCTGAGGACCCTCCAGAAGCCCCAGCTGAACTCAGCCTGTGAAGTTGGGGTGCTTGCTGTTTCCACTGGGGCTGGGAGAAGTGCTCGGGTGCCTTTCCTGTCAGCATTAAAAGCCTCTTTCTTCTAGTGCCCCTGACCCACAACCACTCTATTATGTTGGGACAGTTCCTGTCCCTCTGGGCAGCCTCCTTATTCACACAGGAGAAATCAAAGTAACACCCTCAGAGGGTGGTTAGAAGATTTCATGAGAGAGGCTGGGGCCTCCTCCCACCTCCCGCTCGGCCCTGGCTCCCTTGTGGTGCGGTGGGGTGGAAGGACTAAAGTTCTGGTTGCCAAACTCTGGGACCTTGGGCAAATTACTTAAGCATCCCGAGCCTCAGTTTCCCCTTGGAAGATGGGGGTGCTAGTCCTCACCTCTGAGCTGGGGGAGCAACTCAGTGTTGTGTGTAAAGTGTTTGGCTCAGTGCCTGGTGTGTTAGGGAGCCTGGAGCTCCTGCGCTGCTCACCCGGGTGCTCTGGGAGGAAGGAAGCCCCAGGGAGTCAGAGTGCCAGGGATCCCAGCACTGGTGTCTTACCTTTTCGGGGGGTCAGTGGTCCTTATGAAAACGCAACATTTCTGGACCAGAGCTGTCAGCCAGGAGTTCTCAATCTGGGTCCTTAGAGAAAATTCAAAGTGGAGGGAAAAAAGGACATTCCTGTTTTCATTAACTTCTACTTAAAAATTGAGCATTTTTTTTTCAATGATGAAAGAATGCAAGAGTGGAAGGGGCATGGTCTCTTGAGGCCACAGCTGGGAAGTCACGATACCATTTCCACCATATTCTATTGCTCGAAGCCCATTGCCTTGACAGCCTGGCTTCAGGGGATGGAGAATATTGGATCCCCACCACCCCCCTTGTCGGGAAGAGTAGCACAATCCTGTTGCTTTGGGTTTTTCCATGGGTGGGAGAAATAGTTGTGGCCATCTTTTTTTTTTTTTTTCAAAACTTTATTTATTTATTTGACAGAGAGAGAAAGATCATAAGTAGGCAAAGAGGCAGGCAGAGAGAGAGGGGAAAGCAGGCTCCCTGCTGAGCAGAGAGCCTGATGCAGGGCTTGATCCCAGGACCCTGAGACCATGACCTGAGCTGAAGGCAGAGGTTTAACCCACTGAGCCACCCAGGCGCCCCAGTTGTGGCCATCTTTGCAAGCAGTCCCTCCGACTACCTTTCTATCCCTTGTTCAAGGTCCTCCCTGGAGGTATTCAGCCCACTTGCAAAGGAGCTTTGAGCCAGGCCATGGCTGGGCCACAGTCCTTTTGGCCCTGGAGATTTCTTTTTCCCTGCTATTTACCTGACTCTGCTTTGCCAGGGACTGGTGATATCTAGAGTTTCACTAAACTGTAGGCTGCATGAAAATTTCAGCAAATTTCCCATTAATATCCTATGAAGTATTTAGTCATCTTGTCTCCTTACTCTCCTCCGATCTTGCGATAGTTTCTGTCTATCCTTGTTTTTCACGACCCTGATGCTTTTGAAGAGTCCTGGTCGGGCATTTTGTACGTTGTCCTTTAATTCTGGTTTGTCTGATGTTTTTCTCATGATTAGATTGGGGTTATGGAATTTGGGAAAGAAAACCAGGGGTTAGGTGTCCTTCACTGCCTCCTATCAGGGTGCATAGGACACTGCCCAATGACAAAGCAAACACTAATTAATTAAGTAAACTCTGTGCCCAACATGGGGCTCGAACTCATGACCCCAAGATCAAGAGTCACATGCTTTTCTGACTGAGCCAGCCAGGCGCCCCCAAAACGCAAACAGTTTGGTAGTGAGTTTGATGTCCTTTATTCAGAAGAAAAAATTTCCTGGATGGAGGGACTACAGCCCTTCAAAGCAGTTGAATACTCTTCTGGAGGGATTTGGGGCAAGAACGAATTTCGTAGAGACCCAAAAGCAACAACCCAGAAATGGCAGGACTGGCTGCTAGGGGGATTTCCTTGTAAGGCAGGCAGGTTTTGTTTTCTAGGGTAGGGGGAGTTAGTACCGCTGAATGTGTGTTAGGTTGTCATTGGTGTATGTTAAGTTTCCTATAAGTGCCGGCTGAGGTAGATTTATATAGATAGATAGATAGATTTGAGAGAAAGAGAGAACACAAGCAGCGGTGAGGAGCAGAGGGAGAGAGAGAAGCAGACACCATGCTTGCTGAGCAGGGAACCCGAAGCAGGGCTAGAGCCCCGGACCCTGGGATCATGACCTGAGCTGAAGGAAGGTATTTAACTGACTGAGCCCTTGAGGTAGGTTCAGATTTGTGACCTGGGCCAGGTCAGTGGGCAGCCTCTATTTTGTAGGTCTCGATAGAAGAAATATCAGTACCAATATGGCCTGTCACTGGTGATGTTACCTTGATCCAATTCTGACCCCAATTCCAATGTGTGTGTTTTTCCATATCACAAGTAATTAGTTCAATTTTCCATGGACACTGACCGGGTATCCCACAAATTTAGCCCAATTCCAACACTACCTGCCTGGAGATAGCATCAGATTCCCCTGGTTAAGGGCTCAGTCCCACAAGACCACCTCCATTTCAGAAGCCAGTCCCTCACCTGGGGTTCTGACCGACTGGCTATAAATCAGAGGTTCCCACGACCTTCTCTTTAGGGTTGGTTAATTTGCTAGAGGGGCTCACAGAACTCATGAAACCAGTTTACTCACTGGATCACAAATTTATTCCAAAGGATATTAAAGGACACAAATCAATAGCCAGATGTAGAGACACATGGGTGAGGTCGCGAACAAAGGAACTTCTGTCCTTGAAGTGTGGGATCCAGCCCGCGGATGCATTGTTGTTCACCAACCTGGAAGTTCTCCCAACCCTGTCCTTTTGCATTTTTATGGAGGCTTCATTTCATAGACTTGATAGATTAAGTCCTTGGTCATTGGTGATTGACTCAACCTCTAGCCTCTCTCCCCTCCCTGGAGGTCAGGGAGTGGGACTGAAAGTTCTAACCTTCTAATTGAATTGGTTTCCCAGGCAACCAGCCCCCATCTTCAGGTTACCTTGGGCTTTCCCTGCCAGCAAATTAACATAACAATAGACACTTTAATCACTCTGTACACTTAGAAAATTCCAAGGGTTTTAGGAGCTCTGTGCCAGAAACAGGACGAAATACGTATTTCTTATTATAAACCATAATTTCACACTTGATCATGTGGTTATGTGGTCTTAGCCAGGTTTCTCCACTGGAATGTTAGCATTTTACCCCCTTACTTACTCTATTGTTAGAAATTCTATGGTTTTAGGGGGGCCTGGGTGGCTCAGTGGGTTAAGCCTCTGCCTTCTGCTCAGGTCATGATCCCAGGGCCCAGGGATGGAGTATCAACCTGATATGGGGAGGGGGGGTGTCTCTGCTCAGCAGGGAGCTTGCTCCACCTCCCCCTCCCCCGGCTGCCTCTCTGCCTACTTGTGATGTCTCTCTCTTTGTCGAATATATAAATAAAAATCTTTAAAAAAAAATTCTATGGTTTTAATTTGCATTTCAATAATAACTAATGATGTTAGGTATTTTTTTATGTGCTTATTTGCCATCCATATACCTTCTTTGTGTCCAAATGATTTTTTAATTGGGTTGTTTAATATCTCATTGATGAGCTTTTAGAGTTCTTTATAAATTTTGGAATCATTTCAAAATAAATTACAGACATCACTATACTTACCTCTAAATACTTCAGCATGCATAACATTAATTAGAATTCAATTTCTTTACCTAAAATGAAATATACAAATCTTAAGTTCATAGTCACTGAGATTTGACAGATTTTACTCCAGTGTAATCCAAAGCACTGTCAAGATGTACAACATCATTCAGTATGTTGATTTTTATGACCCATTGATGGTTGTAATCTATTTGAAAAACAGGGCTCCAAACACTCCAGCTATAATGCAAGGCCTTGGTAGAAGCTCTGGGCTATAAACGTAGGATTTGCAAATGTCCCTCACTTAAATATTGCTTCTGGGTCCAAGAGACCTTCTTCTAGCCTACACCTCTTTCCTGGCCACTTCTCCTCTGTTAAAGAACAAAATTCAAGTGAGTAAATTCAAAGATCTAATTGGCTTTATTCAATGATTCATGAATTGGGCAGCTTCCCATCTAGCAAACAGAAGGGAGCTCTGGGGAGCTGTGCAAAATGAAAGACTTTTATAGGCAAAAGGCAGTGGGGCGAGGAAGTTATTCTAGCAAAGACTGGATTGTTTTAGGCAAGATCACCTTCCTTTGGGGGCCAGTGGTGGGGGTGGGGTGGGGGCAGGCTGGGGAGGGGGAGGGGGAGCAGGCTCCCTGCTGAGCAGAGACCCCCGATATCAGCTTGATACTCGATCCCTGGACCCTGGGATCATGACCTGAGCCAAAGGCAGAGGCTTAACCCGCTGAGCCACCCAGGTGCCCCTAAAACCATAGGATTTCTAACAATAGAGTAAGTAAGGGGGTAAAATGGTGGATTTCCTCCCCAGTGTTGACCAGGAAATTCCAGACTGACTGGTTAAGATTACTTATCTGGGAGAGGCTGAGGCTGTAATTAGGTTAGGAATGGTGATGTGGGTGGGCCTTAGCACAAGTGACTCTATCATGAGTCTACTTTCTCCTTTTTCAACACCTCCTAGTCCCTGCAGACCCCATCAGCTCTCAGCCCTCCCCAGAGGTGAGGAGGTGACCTCCTAGAGACAGATCCTGGGGACTTTAGTCACCTCATTTCTCATTTGGGGCCCTATCAAGACAAGCAGATGTTGTAAACGTGGAAGAATGTTCTGGGGGGGTATTCTAGGGACTGTCAATGCTGTACGACCTCACCTTACACCCTGAGTTATTTATCAGGGCATAAAAAACTTTCTGTAGGTGACGCTGTCCAACCCGCTCAGCGACCCACTGAGGTAGTCCGGGGTTATCCTGATTTGACCTAGGAGAAAATGGAGGCTCGTGGAGGTACAGATGACTTGTTCAAGACTGCACTGCACTGCTGACCAGTGCTGGAGCTGGGATTGGGACTCTGGCATCCTGACTCCCATCAGCCCTGGTGAGGCTGAATGGGTACCTGTGGTGGCCCAGGGGTCCATCCCCATTTACATACTGTGTTTTTTCCATGGGAAAGCTGTGCTCTGGGTTGCAAACACTCACCATCTACAAGAGAGCCAGGGTGTGAGAAGGGCCCTCTTCATAGACTGTAGGGACCACCCTGGTCTACCACCTTGTTTCCAGGACGGCCTGACCTTACTACACTGTGCAGCCCAAAAAGGCCACGTGCCGGTGCTGGCGTTCATAATGGAGGACCTGGAGGACGTGCCCATGGACCATGCTGACAAAGTGAGAGTGGCATCGAGGCTGCTTGTCCTTCCCATTGGGTTTGGGGCTCCTGGGGCCACTCTTGCCCATTCCTTGAGTGCATCCTTTTGAGCTATGGGTACTGCAGATTGGACTCCACTTCAGGGAACTGCTGGTCTAGAAGGGGTGTTAGGGCACAAATGAGTGGGACACAGGAGGAAAATGGTCAGTTCCTCAGAGAGGACAGGTTAGAGAGATGGGAGCCACTGCTTCCTGCTTCCCAAAGAAGGCGGCATTTAGTGAGTGAACTGGATTTTGTTGATAAGATTGGAAAGCAGGGAGATTTTGTAAATAGAACATTGTTAGGGCTTTAGAACTGGAAAAGGGCCCTTTGAATGTGAGTTCAGATGGACTGGAATTTTGGGAGTGGGAGCCAGGACCATGTTGGGAGCCCCTTGTGGAAATTTCCACCACCTCATGCCTTAGAAATTGGTCCTGTATTCAGCAGGCAGCAGGAGCCACAGAAGGATTTCACTGAGGGGACCACCCAGTAGGTCTTGCTGGAAAGTTTGGTCTGGGCTTTCCAGGTCAGGTGTGAAGGTCGAGGGGAGGGGAGAGTTCCTGAGGCAAGAGAGGCCCCTGCAAGCCCTGAGTGGCTGGCTAGGTAGGCAGTGTGCCTCCTACAGGGTACAGAAGGGTCACTTTCTTCCCCTACCTGGTCAGCTGGGAAGGACGGCGTTCCACCGGGCGGCAGAGCATGGGCAGCTGGATGCTCTGGACTTCCTTGTGGGCTCTGGTTGTGACCACAGTGTGAAAGACAAGGTACTGTAACTGGGTGCCAGGGTCAGTCCAAACTCTGGGCTCCTGACCAGGGTGGGCGCTGGTGGCTGACCTGCACCAACTTCTGTCGCCAGCATGCTGGAGGAGCAGACGGCTTAAGGACCAGAGAGGGTCTGATGTTCGTCTGGCAGGCATATTTTGAGCGAGTGCTATGGGCCTGTCCTGTGCTGGGCGTGAGAAGCCCAAAGATCTCTGAGACACAGGTTTTCACTCAGGGATCCTGGGCGGCCACATTGGTAGAAAGTTGTGGCCAGCTGTGGGGAGCTGGGATGGCAAGTCTGTTGGCCAGTGGTACTGCCAGGGTGGGTTTGACAGGATTTTGATGCCCTTGGGGCTGTCTGTTGCTGGGAGTGAGGAGAAGAGTTAGGGGATGGTGGTAGCCATGCACCTCCTGGTTATTTAGTCATCTGTGTCATTTAGTCATCTAAGTGGTCATGACAGAAATAGGATGAAAACCTGGAGGAGGCAGCAGTTGGCGGAGGGTGGAGAGCTTCAAGCAGGATTTCACCAGTCTGAGGAGAGCTGAGGGCTGGGCCTGCCGGGACTACCCTGAAAATGACTCTTATCAGTGGGCCATTGTGAATCATTACGCAAGTATGTTGCAGCAAATTCTAAACAATGCTCCAATAAAGGGACAAACTCCATTATTAATCTTCTGATTAATGTGCTTGGCCGGGATAGAGGAGTTCTGTTTATAAACTAATGATAGGCAAATGCACACAGGGGCTTAGAACGGCAAGTGTCCTTCACTGGGGACCAGTTCGACCTTCTCATTTTATAGATGGGAGGTCCAGAGAAGGGGATGCTTTAGCCAAGGTCACAAAGCAACACAAAGGTTGGGCTGGGTTTGGAACCAGCAACCTGATGCCCCGCCCAGGGCTGCTGCCTCCTGAGGCACTGAGCCTTTGGGGTTTGCATGGAATCCAGCTGTCCACACTCGTCCTCTTAGTCCTGAGAATCAAATTAGGCTGATTTCCTTCATTCTGGAAACCGGCTAAGCAGGTCATGCTCTGGGCTATGTTGTGAGGGTTATTGGCCAGGAACAGGGAGCACAGAAAGGAGTGAAGGACAGCCCCTGCCAGGATGCATCTAGCTCAGAGGAAGTAACAGGATTGTACTCAGGGTGCCAGGAGGGTGGGAGCACCCAAATTGGAAAACAAGAAAAGCCCAGCTCTGATCCTTACCCAGAATCTTGTAATTGGAAATTCTAGAAAGAAGCTTTCAAAATTGCATGCCCATATTGGCGTGCCTGGGTGGCTCAGTCAGTTAAGCATCTGCCTTCAGATCAGTCGTGATCCTGGGGTGCTGGGATCGAGCCCTGTCTTGGGCTTCCAGCTCACTGGGGAATCTGCTTCTCTGGCTAGCCCCTTCCAGCTTTCTTCCTGTTTGCTGGGACCCCTTCACCACTACTTGTCCTCTGCAGAAAGATCCCATTTAAAAAAAAAAAAAAAAGATTTATTTATTTTTAGAGGGGAAGGTGGGGCGGAGGGAGAGGGAGAAGCAGACTCCCCGCCAAGCACAGAGCCTGATATGGGTCTCAATCTCAGGACCCTGAGATCATGACCTGAGCTGAAATCAAGAGTCGGACTCTTAACTGACTGAGACTCCCAGCTGCCCTGCAGAAAGATCCCTTTAAGGACAACCCCAATCTGCGCTTGGCAAGAGCCACTTCTGATACAAAGAGCAGTGTGCCCTTTGCCACACCCAGGGGAGCCACCTCCCTTGGCTGTGACTCTGTCACCTTTAGACTTCTCAAGTGTGAGACAACTACCAGCCCTGGGGCTCTTAAGTGCCAGGAGTCACATGTCAGTCTCTCCATCACAGTATTTACTCATTGGACAAATATTTTACTGAATGTCTGCCACATGCCCCAGACCCTATTCTAGGCACTCGGGGAAACGCTGGAGAACAAAAATAACAATCCCTGCCCTTGAGGTGTTTATGTTCTAGCAGGAAGAGTCAGACAATAAACAATAAGCATAGTATACAAGCAAATTATAGTGTGTTAGTTTATCAGTGCTATGGGGGAAAAGGGAAGGAAAAGTCCAGCAAGATCAGGGGATCAGGAGGACAGGAGGGTGAGAGTTGCAGTTTTAAGATTTTATTATTTGAGAGGGAGAGAGCACACACATGAGTGACAGCACAAGCGGTAAGGGGATGGGCAGAGGGAGAAGCAGCAGACTCCCCACTGAGCCCCAATGCAGGGCTCCATCCCAGGACTCCGACATTGTGACCTGAGCCAAAGGCAGATGCTTAACTGCCTGAGCCCCCCAGGCGCCCCTGGAGCTGCAGTTTTAAATAGTGTGGTCAGCAGGGCCCCACTCTTCAATGAGAAGCTACCATTTTGAACTGGGCCATGCAGCTGGCTGCCTGGGCACAACCTGAGCGCCAAGGACAGTCCTTGGAGCTGTGGCCTTGAGCAGAGGGAGGGGATGGATCTAGGATGGCTCAAGGAGGGACTGGCTTTAGACAGGGGCATGCAAAGTAGGGATTTTTTTACCCCCAAGTATTGTGTCTGCCTTCAAGTGTAAGGAAGGATCAGGACTTGGACCTTGGAAGTGCCCCTTGCTGCAGTTCGAGGCATACTTCTCAGGGGCAGGGAGACATTGGCCCAGCATTCGGGGCTGCAGTTTTTCATCGACTTGCTCTGTGACCCTAGATGTGTCACTTCCCCTCTCTGGACCTCAGCTTCTATGTCTATACAATGAGGGGCATTTCCAGCAGGTCCCCAGGGCCTTCAAGGGTCTGTGATTCTACCAGTCCCTCGGGAGCCCTTCTGCCTGCAGGAGGGGAACACGGCCCTTCACCTGGCTGCTGGCCGGGGCCACCTCGCTGTGCTGCAGCGGCTTGTGGACATCAGGCTGGACCTGGAGGAGCAGAACGCGGTGAGTCACCGCCCAAAGGAGGCAGAGACGCTTGCTTGCTCCCTGCTTTCGAGGAACGGATGGCCCAAGGTGCAGCCTGATTTTCCCCTGCTAGAGGCTTCCTGGAGTGAAAATGCACAGACCAAGGACAGGGGGCGGGGCAGCTTGGAGGGTGAGACCCTGAGCAGGGATGTGGAGGCGGAAGGCAATGTACCACATGCTCCTCAACGTGAGAAAATCGGGTACGGGGCTCAGGGAACCACGGATAATGACCCAGATTGTCGTCCTCAGTAGCGTGGCCATGGAGAGCTCCTAGAGCTCTGGAGCCATAGCGCAAGGGGTCCCTCTCATCTCAGAGTCTGGCCTCAGCCTCCCTGCCGTCCTCACACTCTCCCCGTGTGTTTCAGGAAGGTCTGACCGCCCTGCACGCGGCGGCTGAAGGCGTCCACCCCGACTGTGTACAGCTGCTCCTCACCCAGGTAGTCAGTCCTCCCCCAGGGGACGGATGTCTGCCCTTGGCTTCTGAACTCTAACCTTGTCAATGATTCCTGAACGTGTGTAAATAGGGGCCCTCAGGCTGCAGGCCCCAGGGTCTGCTCTTGGCTTCTCCGCTGCTGAGCCCTGTGACCGAGGGCAAGTCACTTCAATTCGATGAGCCTCATTTCCCAACTATAAAATGGGGACGCTATGTAGTCACGTTCTTCCATTGCTGGGAGGAGTAAATACACCTCCCAGCATCGGGGGTGCTAGGAGCTTGACACCTGTTCGTGTCTTCTTATTGCTGGGTACTTGGTTGTTCGTGGGCCCCCTTTACAACAGTTACTTCAGAAAAGTTCCCCCTGTTCCTACTGATGAAGAAACAGAAGCTTAGAGAGATCCAGTGACTTCCATGGGTCACAAGCCAGCAAAAAGCCAAGCTGAGGCTGAAAAGCCTGTTCCCTAGACTGCAGAGCTCATGGCTGGAAGGTTTGCCTTGCCTGTGCACGAGCCACCCCAGCGCCCAGAGCTGGAGCCCAGGACAGGCCTCCTTTCTCTCTCACTACTGACTCCTTAAGCAGCAACTGGAAATTCTCTCTGTGTCCTGGAAACGGGGTATCATGGCCTTAGGTAGGGAGTTGCCATTTTTGTTTTGTTTTGCTTTTTACTTTTAGATCAATGACAAATAATCTCTCTTCACTGATTGAATGGCTTCAGGGTTTGGAATTCTCTATATGTTCTAAATTTCAATAATAAAGCAATAATAATAAATAAAATATAATAGCAAAAATAGTTTAAAAGCCCGGGAATTAAGATAGTATGCGAATAATGTTTAACACAAAAGAAGGCAATCAAGGAGAAACAGAAGAACAAAAAGGACAGGAAACATGTAGAAAATAAGTAGCAAAATGGCAAATGTAAATTCAATAATAACATCAGTGTTAACCTCCCCCAAACGCGAATACTACTTCATAAGTCACAAAAACTTAATTTGCAGAATTTCCCTAGCTGCCCCAGGGTGTTGGGAAGACACCAAGAGCCACCTTGAGGGGGAAAGTATCTGCCCTAGGGAAACCACCTGCGTCCTTGCATCTGCGTGGTGCTGCTCTTTGAGCAGCAGCCCTTTCTCTATGCCCAGAGCAGTGCTCGGGACTGGGAGGGGACGTAGAAGTGAAGTGTCAAGGCCATCTCCCCAGCAGTAGCAGCATAGGAGTTTAGGGACCGGGGAGGTCATGTCCATCTGGTGGACATGGGCAGGGCTGGAGCTGCCCACTGCCCTGGGCCCTGTGCTCTCGCCTTGGTTTGCGGTTTCCGGCAGAGGACACATTCTATCTGGACACCCCACCCCTCGCAGGGCCTCTGAAGTAGGGGCTGACTCAAAGTGATTACATTTCCTGCTGGGAGGCGGACTGGTTCCCACTCACCCTGTGCACTCAGTTCAGACAGGACTTTGGGAGAGTGAGCAGCTTGTCCCAGTTTGCCCCACACTGCCCTGGTTTTCAAACTGAAAATCCTGGGGAACAGTCTGGGCAGTCTGGGACAGCTGGTCGCCTAGAGGGGTCCTCCTGGTGGAGCGGAGGGGAGTAGCTCATGTGAGGTTGCTGTTTGGCTGGGGGTGGGCTTGGATTGAAGGGGGGCACTCAGAGGGCCCATCAGGATGAAGCCTTGCCCCTGGGCTGCCTGGCTCCCGCCCGGACGGCTGAAAACAGCTCTGGCAGGGCTGTGTGTGCCAGGTGCGGTTTGCTCTGGGCTGGCAAATCTTACTTGCTCCCCTCTTTGAAAACCTCAGAGTATACCCCGCATGTCTTTACCAGCCTAGGAATTGTGCGGGCTTTGATGTATGTTCTGCAGTTTGTGATAGGAAGCAGGGAGAAGCCAGGACCATGGTGAGCTCCTTCTACTAGTCACCAGGCCTGGGCAAGGCATTGATTTCTCCAGCCTCAGAGTTCAAGAGGGTAATTATCCCGGAGGGTGTGTGTGTGACAAATGGAATAATGGATACCAAAGGCCCACTGTGAGGGACTTTCAGGACAGGGCACTGATGCCTGTTTCCCTCTAGAAAAAACAGAGCTGTCTCCACTACGCAGTCCTCGGTGGCTCTGAGGACATGACCCGGACCCTCATCCACGCAGGAGGCCACACCAACATGGCTGATCATGTAAGTGTGGGGGCTTGGGTTGAAGGGGTCCCCACTGCAAAGTCTCCATGACTTCCCTGATATAGCATAGCACAGACAGGTGCTTTGGGCCCCTGGGGTTGGGATGAGGGCCAGGATTGGAGGGCCTGGTAGCTAGCATGAGAGAGGGTCAGATAAGCTTCTTTCTAGGACAGGATTAGCAAACAAGCTACATTTCCTCCCAAGTGAGTTATTCGCATGTGTTCTCCACTCATTTAGCCATTGGGACTTAGTGATGGTCTTTTATTTTACAAATCTAGCCTCTTAGTTGTTCATTTTTTGCTTATGTGGTACACTCGCAGGGGACAGTATATTCTTGTGGTTTAGACATGGACTGGCTTTGAGGCCTGGCAGGGCCTGTCACAAACTGAATGACCTTGGGCAAGTTGCTTTGACCTCCCTGGACCTTTGTTTCTTTATCTTTAGGTACTATTATTAGTCCTATTATGTAAATGAGGAACTATCTATTGTTTAAATTAGAAAGAAGTCATTTGGGCACCTGGGTGGCTCAGTGGGTTAAGCCGCTGCCTTCGGCTCAGGTCATGATCTCGTGATCCTGGGATCGAGTCCCGCGTCGGGCTCTCTGCTTGGCAGGGAGCCTGCTTCCCTCTCTCTCTCTCTCTCTCTCTGCCTGCCTCTCCGTCTACTTGTGATCTCTCTCTGTCAAATAAATAAATAAAATCTTTAAAAAAAAAAAGTCATTTCTTTTTCTCTTGTTTTTGTTTGTTTTTTAGAGGTCATTTCTTTTTTTTTTTAAGATTTTATTTATTCACTTGACAGAGAGAGATCACAAGTAGACGGAGAAGCAGGCAGAGAGAGAGAGAGAGAGAGAGAGAAGCAGGCTCCCTGCTGAACAGAGAGCCCGATGTGGGACTCAATCCCAGGACCCTGAGATCATGACCTGAGCCAAAGGCAGAGGCTTAACCCACTGAGTCACCCAGGCGCCCTAGAGGTCATTTCTTAAATAAGCACTATATTTAAAATTAGTAAGAACAATATAGCACAGTTCATTGGAATATAGAGAAAGAAGGCATCCCTAATCCCAGCAACCCAGTAAAGCAATGACTTTTCTTTATTCCCTTCCAGTTTCTTCATATGTGTAGTAGTATCTCTAGCTATAAAGAATCCAGACTAAGGCAGAATTCTGGAAAGGGGGATGCTTAAGACACCAGAATTTTTATTCGAGTCCAGTGGGAACTATCCAAAACTATGTTGCTAGTTTTTCTAGCAACCATTTTTTTAAATTAACATATAATGTATTATTTGCCCCAGGGGTACAGGTCTGTGAATCATTAGGGTAACACACTTCACAGCACTCACCATAGCTCATACCCTCCCCAATGTCCATCACCCAGCTACCCCATTCCTCCCCCCGACCCCCCAGCAACCCTCAGTTTGTTTTGTAAGATTAAGAGTCTCTTATGGTTTGTCTCCCTCCTGATCCCATCTTGTTTCATTTTTTCCTTCCTTACCCCCAAATCCCCCACGTTGCCTCTCAAATTCCTATCAGGGAGATCGTATGAAAATTGTCTTTCTCTGATTGACTTATTTTGCTCAGCATACTACCCTCTAATTCCATCCACATTGTTGCAAATGGCAAGATTTCATTTCTTTTGATGACTGCGTAGTATTCCATTGTATATATATACCACATCTTCTTTATCCATTCATCTGTTGATAGACATCTAGGTTCTTTCTATAGTTTGGCTATTGTGGACATTCTAGCAACCATTTTTTAAAAATTTTTATTTATTTAATTTTTTTCTAGCAACCATTTTTAATGCCAGATGTGGTTCAATGACTACATCACACTTAACAGTTCCTCAGCTGTTGAGTATTTGTTTTTGACTTTGTCAGGATAAATAATGATTTATGAACATCTTTATGGCTTGTAACTTTGTATTTTCTTTTGCATCATATATGAATTCTCCAAATAGGATTTCTGGGTCAGGTGGTAAAAACATTTTTGTGATTCTTCATGTAACTTGTTAAATCCTTTCTAGAAAGGTCAGATCACATAGCCCCCAATAATTTATAAGTGACCTTTCACCAATATTAGATATTAATATTTCTATAAATTTCATAGTTAACTGATCTTTGTTATTGCTTGATTTAGAATCTCTTTGATTACTGTTGACCCTGAATTTTCCCAGGAATTTGTTTTTCTAGTTGAAGTTTTCTATTGTGAGTTATTTCTTCTAATCCTTTGTCTATACTTGTGTGGATTTTCTTTAACCAACTTCTTTGAGGTTATTACTCTTGGATCATAATATATGTTGCTGTTGCTTGCTCTAACAACTTTTTGACATGCTGAAGATGTAAATGTTTGTGTAATCACAGGTATTCTTGATGCAAGTTTTGAATTTTAGTTTAGGAATCTTCTAGCCATGATTTGATTTTTGATGTTTGGCTCTTTAATACTCCTACACTGTATTTTTTTAAAAGATTTTATTTATTTGACAGAGAGAGACACAGAGAGAGAGGGAACACAAGGAGGGGGAGTGGGAGAGAGAGAAGCAGGCTTCCCGCAGAGCAGGGAGCCCAATGTGGGCCTCGATCCCGGGACCCTGGGATCATGATTTGAGCCAAAGGCAGACACTTAATGACTGAGCCACCCTGGTGCTCTACACTGTATTTTTTTGTATATAGTATGATATATTACCCAGTAGATTCTCCCCCCAATTTTTTAAAATATTTCTATGTCAGGCACATTTATTAAATAATTATAACATTTCTTAGCACTTTTTCATTCTTTCCTTTATCACATATTCGCATTTTGATATATGATAGGCTCTATGTCTGGGCAAGTGATTCTCTTTCAATACGTTATATGTGTAATCTTTAGCTGGTACCATAGTATTTTAATTATTGTTGCCTCGTAATTTGTTCTAAAGTCATATAAAGCTCGTCTTCTTAAATATCCTAACCTTTTATCCTTTTATATTCTCACATGTTTATTTTTCCAGCTGAGAGTTGTGTTTTTTTCGATTAAAAAAATCAACTTAAGGTGGGGCGCCTGGGCAGCTCAGTGGGTTAGGGTCTCTGCCTTCAGCTCAGGTCATGATCCCAGAGTCCTGGGATCGGGCTCTCTGCTCGGCGGGGAGCCTGCTTCCCCCTCTCTCTCTGCCTGCCTCTCTGCCTACTTGTGATCTTTGTCTTTCAAATAAATAAATAAAATCTTTAAAAAAAATAAGAGAAAGGATAAAAACCATATTATTTCAATAGATGTGGAAAATGCATACAACAAAGTACAATATCCACTTGTGATAAAAGGGCCTCTGCAAAGTAGGTCTAGAAGGAACATATCTCAACATAATAAAGGTGTTATATGAAAAATCTACAGCCAACATCATACTTAATGGAGAAAAAGTGAGAGCTTTTCCACTAAGTTCAGTAACAAGGAAAGGATGTCCACTATCACCACTTTTATTCAACACTGGAAGCTGTAGCCACAGCAATTAGACAACACAGACAAATAAAAGGCATCCAGATTGGTGAGGAAGAAGTAAAACTCTCATTATTTGCAGATGACATGATACTATGTACAGAAAATCCTAAAGACTCCACCAAGAAACTACTAGGGCTGATAATTGAATTCAGTAAAGTTGTAGGATATGAAATCGATGTACAGAACTCTGTTGCATTCCTATATACTAATAATGAAATAGCAGAAAGTGAAATTAAGAAAATAATCACATCTACAATTGCACCAGAAACAATAAAATATCTAGGAATAAACTTAACCAAAGAGGTGAAAGACCTGTACCCTGAAAACTATAAAAACACTGAAGAAAGAAATTCAAGTTGATGCAATGAAACGGAAAGACATTCCATGCTCAGGGTTGGAAGAATAAATATTAAAATGTCTATAACACCCAAAGCAGTCTACAGATTTAATGCAAACCCTCTCAAAATACCAACAGCATGTTTCACAGAGCTAGAACAAACAATCCTAAAACTTGTATGGAACCACAAAGACCCTGAATAACCAAAACAATCTTGAAAAAGGAGAACAAAATTGGAGGTATCATAATTCCAGACTTCAAGTTATATTTCAAAGCTATAGCAATTAAAACAGTATAGTACTGACATAAAAACAGACCCACAGATCAATGGAATAGAACAGAAAATGAACCCACAATTATATGGTGAATTAATCTTTGATAAAGGAGGAATGTACATATGATGGGAAGAAGAGTCTGTTCAGCAAATAGTGCTGGGGAAACTGGGCAGCCACATGCAGAAGAATGAAACTGGACCACTTCCACCACACACAAAAATAAGCTCAAAATGGATGAAAGACCTAAATGTGAGACCTGAAACCATGGAAATCCTTGAAGAGAACACAGGCAGTAATTTCTCTGACATTGGCCATAGCAACTTTTTTTTTTTTTTAAGAATTTGCATTTATTAAGGGGTGCCTGGGTAGCTAAGTTGGTTAAGAGTTTTCATTTATGGGGCGCCTGGGTGGCTCAGTGGGTTAAAGCCTCTGCCTTCGGCTCAGGTCATGATCCCAGGGTCCTGGAATCGAGCCCCACATCGGGCTCTCTGCTCAGCAGGAAGCCTGCTTCTCCCTCTCTCTGTCTGCCTCTCTGTCTACTTGTGATCTCTCTCTCTGTCAAATAAATAAATAAAGAATCTTTAAAAAAAAAAGAATTTTCATTTATTTATTTTTGAGAGGGAGAGAGAGAGCGAGAGCACAGGCAGGGGGAGTGGCAGGCAGAGGGAGAAGCAGACTCCCCACTGATCAGGGAGCTGGATGTGGGACTTGATCCCAGGATCCTAGGCCAAAGGTGGATGTTTAACACACTGAGCCCCACAAGCACCCAGCCATAGCTACTTTTTTCTAGAAAGGTCTCTGGAGGCAAGGGAAACAAAAGCAAAAATAAACAATTGGGACTACATCAAAATTAAAAGCTTCTGCATAGCAAAGAAAACACTGAACAAAACTAAAAGGCAATCTATGGGATGGGAGAAGATAT